ATATATATAGGGGGTGGGAACTTTGTTCAATGACAGAAAATCATGTAAACATCAGACAGCGTCATAACACAGTCCTGTATGCTAACGGCGGAAGCTAACACTTACAGGAAAACATTTTTTTTTATAGTTTTTTGTCCAGTTATCTGACTAAACCTGCTGACAAAATGAAAATATATTTGTTATTAACTGTTTCGAGTGCTTCAAGACATGGAAGAGGGATTTATGTGGCCAGGAGAAGTAAAAATGTTTGGATAAAAAGACCTCCGGTCACCATTTTGAATCGCTAATTTTGTCATATTTTAGGACAAATATGAATCAAATGTGAGTAAAAAACAAATATATTTTCACTGCTGGTGGTTTTATAAGCTGTGTGGAATGTTAATGCTCTGAAAGATATAAGGATATATTTGTTTATTCTTGTGGTTTGGCTGTTTAGTGGTGGAAATTTGTTTGAAAGTACAGTGTTGGTGTAAATATTTAGGAATATTAATATGTTTTTTATTTAATCATGCTGTGAGTAAATATGGATGGTAGAATGTGTTTTGTTGGGGTTTTATCTTTAATTTGAGCCCAGAGTGAAGTCTCTGTGTTGAAATTAGAACATTTTAGACAAACTGTACAGTCTGGACATACTGTACATGAGTACAAAAATGCAAATGAGACATGCTGGATTGTACTATGTCTCAAATATTCATATTATATGCTACTGTTACCAAATTTGAACTGGTAATAGTTGGGAATTAATATTTTAGCCCAGTAAAAATTGTTTGATAATATCTCGTTCCCTTCACATTTATTTAAATTATTATTAATAAAAAAATTAGGGAGAAAAATATCTTGATTTTTGTGTATTTTACTTCAATATACTACATACTAGTTACAGTTACAAAGAATATGACTGCTGAAGTTAAAAATTCAGATTATTAAATTTAAAAAGAGACCAAGCTTGTGAATTTACTCTAAAGGGTTCAAAAGCAGTACTTCATTTAATTTGTGTACTTTTTAAGGTATTTTATCATATTTTATGCCTGAAGGTTAACTGGTTTTAAGATTTGTAAAACTTTTGGGGGAAGAAAGGAAGACAGAAATGAAGTTATGTCTCCGCCCCACAGTTTGAAAACTACTGTAGGACGACAACAGAAACCAACGGTGACACGCCTAAAAAAAAACCTCTGTTCGACAGTTATTCAACATTTTTTATTGCCAACAAAATGCTCAGACAGA